ACAAATAAGTAAATCAAAATCATTTATTAAATATTTATCATCAATGACTTTTTCCACAAAATCCTCATTATGGAATGATATTGAATTAAAAGGTATTTTATCATATAAAACAATATCATCAATTCAATCATCAAATAAAACAAATGTATCAAGAAAATTATTTCAATCGAATACAACAGATCAATTAACAGTAAGATTTATTATTTGATTTATTTAATACAATATTATACATATCAATGAATATGATTTATTTTAATTAAAAAAAAATTGTTTCCAAATTTTCATTAACGAAAACTTTTATTTTGAAAAAATTTTGTTCATAAATATTTAAAAACAGTGAAATATTTAGTTCGATCTAGTAACAAGAAAAATTGATCCCTTAGAATACTTTATTTTTCTTTTTTTCTATATTTATCATGAAAAAAAACAATGAGAAATCATTTGATAATATATATCATCGATTTAAAAAGAATTTATTTTTTTTCATAATCGAGCGCGACGAAAATAAACTCATCTGAAATTCTATGAAAATATGATAATTGACGTCGACATTTTCTAAAAGCTTGTCAAACAATGAAAATAATTCGATAAATAATAACCATTTTAAAGCCTGTCTACGGCGAACACTTGTTTTTCTTTCTAGAGCACACTTTTTATAGAGAATATTAGAGAAAAATGACGATAATTCCCTATGGTGTCAATCTTTATTTTTAGACGTAGAACCCCTTGAAATTTAATTTAAGAAAGTGTTTTGAATGAAAATTTTCAATAAATAAGATTATCTTCTGATATTGAATTCGTTTAATTGATTTTATCAATATTCAATGAATATTTTTTTTTTCTCAAAAATTTTCAAAATCGAATTAACAAAAAAAAAACGAAGGAAAATATCTTGTCAAAGATTTTTATTTTTATTCAAACAAAATATTATTATAGAATAAACCAAAGACATTTTATTTGTCTTAGTTAACTAATTAAAATAAATCTTTATCAATATAATATCAATATAATTCTTGAAATATTTCGTTTAAAAAAAAAATTTTTTTTTTTCTAAAAAGTTGAATAGAATTTTAGAAAACAAAAATTTTTTAATTTATCATTTGAATTAACTCTCATAATGAAAATAAATCATAGAAATTAATAGGATAAAAAGAAAAAAAACAGACGACGTTGTTGTTTAGAATAAATTGACAATAAATCGAAGTAAATCAGATGGAATTGTTGAAAATAATCATATTAAATTAGGTCCATGCACAATGTTTTATCGGAAATTGTATGAATATGTCTTATCTCATCTTGATCTTATTTGTTATCGTTTATATGGATCTCAATCAAATAAATTTGAAAGAATCATTTGGAATTTATTTGAAAATTATACTCAATTATTATTTTGTTCACGATTAATTCAAGTATATAAATCCGAGTGCCTAGTTCGAAATTAAAAACAGTTCGAAGTGTTTTTATTCGTTCAATTAACAAATATGATTTTGTTGAAAATGAGATTTATATTCAATTAAAGATATTTATTCTTTTTTTTTTCTTCAAGATAAAAATTCATGTTTAACACCATCAAAGTACATATAATTGGTGATATAACTAGTTTTTATAAAGAAATATTTCTAAACATTCCGAATATAGATAAAAATTTAAAAGAAAATCAATTAATTGATCTTCCTTATAGTAATAAAACATTTGAAAATATTAAATAAGGACATGTTAACGTAAATATATCTTCAATTAATTATTCATCAAATAAAACTCAAACAAATTCAACATCGAATGTCTTATCATCATCGATTCAAGTAGGTAACCTTTTGTTCTTTTTTTTTCTTTTATTATTGATTATTTATTGTCAATTGTATAATTAAATATTTATTTAATATTATTTCTAATAAATATTGATCATGATAACTATATATTAATTATTATATTCAACAATAACAAATATATATATACAAGTTATTTAATCGACAATGAATTAAAATATAGACGATATATTGATCCTTAACAAGATAATTCATTAAAAAAAAAAAAAGAAAAAAAAACAGAAGTTGAATTCTCAATTGAATTTTCGATATAGAATTTTCCTTTTTAATAAAATCTACGTTGGAACTAAATCTTTGATTAGATTTGAAAAATTTTCATTAAAAAACTCTAGTCAAATAAATCAAATCTTAGTTGAATTAATCGAAATTGAATTTATTTATTAGACTCTTCTCTTTTATATAATACAAAAACAAATAAGAATATTTGTCTACAATTAAATAAATACATAAGAACCATTTTTATATTTCGACCAATTTTATTTAACTTAATTGAATAATAAAATTTATTTATTTATTCAAACATTTTTTTTCTCTCATATTATGTAAATATATGAAATCAATAAATATTTAGTAAAATAGTTGTTAGTTGACCTATTCAAATAAACAAGTAATTAACATATTAAATAAATTAATAAAATAATAATATTATTTATAAAATTTATTAAATCTAATGGAATTGAAATCATATGAATCGTATTGAAATTTTTTTCTTTTTTTTTTTTTAAATAAATAAATTCAAGGTGCAAATGATACAGTACGAACGACTCGAACTTGAACTGAAGATGGTAAATTTTTAACAACTATTGCAACAATATCAAAAATAAATAATTCAAATGAGAATCAAGATAATATTCTTATTAACAGAAATGAAAAAAATCTCTTTTTTGGTCAATCAACAAATAATTCTATTAAAC